TCATGTGAGATAACATATGAAGTATGTGCACAGTTCAAACAGGATTACCATGTTCAAGGTTGATCTAATGAACATGGATTGTTTCTCTTTTTCTAAGATGCTGGATCGGTGTTTTAAGGATAAAGGTGAACCCCCTCCACTGCCTCCTAAACCCCATCGACTGCAGCTTGATGATGAAAATGAAGCCCTGGTAATTACTTAAAATAAACACAGCATTAAATTGATATCAAGTGATTGTTTTGTCATGTTGTAGTCACTTTAAATCATCTCTCTTTAATTAGGATGCTGAGAGTCTGTCAAACTCCTACAAAGAGTCAACACGTGAGTAAAAATATCCAGCTTGAAAAGATTTCAATTGGATGTTGTTTTTTGTGGTATCCTGTTGTTGCTGAACTGTAGTGTCATTTGCTTCTAGCCTGGAAAACTCTGTCCAGTGAGCTCCAACTTAAAGGAGTACCAGAAAAAGTGTACGTTTTTCCTCCATGCTTTTACATGTAGGAACAGTAGTTATAGTTAAAATGATTGTTTGTTGGCACTAAGTTTGTCTTTGGATTAATTTCATCTTCACTTCGATGCAGCTTAATTCAATTCAGTGACATGCAGACACACCACACAAATGTGAGCATCTTCCTCTCTTCAGACATCGTTGTACTTCAGTCTTTAACAAAGAGTCGACAGACTGACAGTACTGTCATGAACCTACTCGTGCACTCCTTTGGCTACAGCACTTCTTTTATACCATACAGCTGATTGGCTGATTGCACGTGTTTAAGTTCAGGCCTAACTTTAGTTCCCAGCCATTCACATAGCCTTTTTTCATAAAGAATGTCTTTAAGAAAAAAGGCTGTGCTCGCAACTCTCATACCTCTAATCTAGTTACATATGAATACAGTATTGTTAAGCACTAGTTTCACTTTCTAAAAGTAAGTTAAACAAGCTAAACAGGAATAAGTTCCATAAACATGGACAAAGAACATTTTATTTTCCTTAGCAACCAAACATTAGACGTTCAGAGTTTTTTTTTTTTTAAGTATTTATTTTTACTAAATGAGATTCATCAGAATAGTGCAGCTAAACACATCTGAGGTTAGTTGTCGATTTGAGCTGTTTGGAGGAGTCTTTCCTGTACTTTCATTACATGCCTCCTGCTTTAAATGATTAACGACACGCAGATTCACACTGATTTTTTTTTACGCAACAGACATTGTCAAATAGTGTCCTGAGTGTTGCTTTCCATCTGGTCCAAATACTTCTGTAGAGAAAAAAACAAAACAAAAGCAGACTTTTAATACAAAACAACTCTTAATAGTATGAAACACGTAAAACTAACTGCTTAAGAAAAGATATACTTACAGCAGGCAGTAATGACACACGTGCTTCACCAAATAATCTACCATGAACAAAAGAAGCAGCTCGTGAAGCAAATAAAGACTTAGATTGTACATTGAAGTGCAGTATGTGGTATGACATCCGTGATAAATGCAGTGCTTTTCCTGCTTTAGGAAAAGTCAGAGAATCACCAAAGTTATTACAGTCTGTTATCATAAATAAGTGTGTTTAAAATGCAAATGGTTTTGTTGATATTACAGGTGAATTAATAAAGTTTTTATAACACATTCTAGGGTCATAGAAGTTAAAGCCGAACATCTTCATAAAGCTTTCAATTCTTACATCTCGACGACATCTGGGTGTCAAGGCGGGCTGAAAGAAAAAATAGACGAGCTTGGCTCCATCGCTGACAACTTAGATAAGGTGGTGTGGATATATTTATGGCTATATGTACATCTGTGTCCATGGGTTCCCTTTTTAATCATTTTCTTTTTCAGGTATCAAAGGGGACAAAAATCGCTGGCATCACAGGAGGCGCTACAACTGTAGCAGGAGGTGTGGCAGCAGCTGCTGGGGTGATCCTGTCCCCGTTCACGCTGGGAGCCTCGCTGGCGCTAACTGCTGTCGGGGTCGGCGTGGCTGCAGCCGGCGGTGTTACTGGTGCATCAGCAGCCATCGCAAATAAGGTGACGGTCTTTAAGGCACTGAGTTGATTAAATTCTGCTGTTAAAAACAATCACAGCTTTTCTTTATCACTTTCACACTCCAGTGATGCATCTGAGTTTTTGGGCTTCAGTGTCTTGGCCGAGAACACTTCTCCCCACTGTCTAAGTGTTTGCTGTCATAGGGGACCGTTGGAGTTCCAGGACTTCAATCTAAAATGCTGAATGTCTTCTTTTACAATATAAAGTCTCTCTAGCTCAAAAGCCCTGTTTTTATGTTATCACAATAAATAAAGGGTACTAACTGGAAACTACCCACACTAGTTATCTGAATTTCTGGTATTGAACTAATTGTGAAGCATGTTTTTCCAGGTGAAATGCAACCAGGACCAGAAGAAAATTGAGAAGATCTTTACCGACTACGAGTCCCTCAGTAAGGGCATTCAGGAGAAATTGTTTTATGTTAATGAGGGCATAGAGCAGCTGAGGCAGCATGGTGTCATCACGCTTGAGAACACAAAGGTGAAGTCAGAGAGGGCCTCCAAGGTGCTGGAGTTCTGTGGTCAAGGAGGTGCATGTGCCACGGCCTTGGAGGCAAACTCTAAGGCGTCTGGGATGATAGAAGGCTTCGCCCTCGGCATGGATATGTACTTCACCAAAGGAAAAGATGGAACCAAGGTGAAGAAGGGCTTTGAGTCAAAGTTGGCAAAGAAACTCCGCTCCTTGATGGTGGATCTCCAGAAAGGACTGGATGAGTTCATCAAAATCAAAGAACTGTTTGAAAAGTATTGTTAGGAGGGTATTTTTCTCCACTTGAATATCTTTTGTTTTAGGGTTGTCTTTTAATGTTAATTTTCAGTTTTTACAAAAGTTTATTGATCGGTGTATATATATTACTTCTTTGGCAACAGGCTTGAAAACAGAACAAAGCTTTTGGTGCAGCTTTAGGAATTGTAACTTCAAGCAGTTTCTTTTAAATGGCATGTGGTTATTAATGCTGTATAAAACTGAGATTGTGTTAACCTCCCTTACTTTAGCTGTTTTTTCTTTCAAGATAATCTAACAGCTTAAGCTACGTGTTAAACTGAATCCAATGACATTTTTAAAATAAGACTACTAAATAAAGACTCACGCCATCCACCAGGGGGCAGTGTAGTCCTTCTTTTAAAACATTTCAGCTGATGCTGAGTACACATTTTGAAAATACGTAAACTTTTGACATTCCTAGCTTGACTTTATATGTGGTATAGTTTTACGTATAACATTTAAAAACAATTTACACACGAATGTGAGTGGTTGTTAACTGAAAGCTTAAAATGAAACATTTTGAATGTTCTCCATAAACCTACTCAGGTACCAGACCGGACTGTGGGTCATACAGACGTATTACAATTACAGAAATGTAGTCAAACTATATCTCAGTGAGATTAAAACGACTACAAAAAACATAGCAAGAGACACTGGTTTTGGAGAAGCACAAACCAGACCCAGGTGTACTTTCAGAGTCACTGTCCTGCAGCTTGAATCTTTCAGTACTGTCTGCAGAACAAGTTTGATGTTTCCACCCCTATTTCAACTTTGGATGGAGTTTTTTTTTTTTTTATCTATGTTTGCTTTATTGTCATTACTTGCTTATTACACTATGACTGGCTCTAACAAGTGTATGTACAAACAATCTTTATCTTCGGTTTGAAAAAAGGAACAGTGCACTTGAGTGACAATCAGCCTTTTATTTACCTCGCTGACTACTTTGACAGTCATCTAAAATAATATCTTCCCTTTACAAAACCATCCCAACCACATGAAACCTTCATGTAGGGTGAAAAAATTAATTATGATGAAATGTATGAAGTGAGACTCCTCGCTCTACAGTCTGCACAGTCTTGTTCAGTCCAAATAATAGTTACCAGGCTTGTTTGACCAGAGGCTGCTCAAAATGACAAGGGTGTGACCCTACATGTGTTAGACATAAGCAGTGAATCATGTCCGTCTGTATGTGAATAAAATATAAAATGGGACACGTTGTGATCTAAATTAACTGTCGGCCAGTTAAAACAATAGACATCTTCGCTCCAGTACAATGAATATTATTGCAAAAATGCGATTTGGATGGGGTTTTTTTTTACAAACAGTAAAACAGCTAAAGGCCCATAAAATACTTAATACTCAATGTTTACATCCTGGATTTGACCTATATTTTACGTCACAGCAGCCTGTGGATCTACTTTGTCCGTTGTAAAAGCTATGATTCATCCAACCAGTTATAAACATGAGTCAGGCGGAGGGATCGCACTCACAAAAAAGGCTCGTTTGTTTAACTTAACCAGCATAGTCGAGCGGCCACGCTTTTGTTGACGTTATAAATACTGTTGTGAAGACCTCCCACTCGCGCTGCTGGTTTCACAGTGAACAAACGCCCTCGCGCTGGGTGCGGAGTGATATACGCAGTAGTACTTCGTTCCTATATAATCCCCACGCGACGGCTCTACCTGCTCTTCGTTCCTACAGCTCCTAAAGTAAACACACTTTGTGCATAGTATCTCTAGCGGGCCAAAATGGCAGTGTAGAGGCGTGCGGCAGCTAACCTTGCAGCGGCAACAAACCGGCAGTGCAACGGCTAAGTGCACTGGCTTTTTCTGGCAAAATGGCGTAAGTAATTTTTTGTGTTTGCAGTCTTCTAAAGAGAAAAAAATATAGCCACTTCCTGTAGTAACTAACCTGTCAACTAGACTGTGTTACTGGCTATTAAACTTGTTGATCAAGGCTATTTGTTATTGTAAAAAAAAAAAAAAAAAACCCCCAAACTTTTAGTGCGTTTTGATTCCTAGTTCCTTGTTTGGAGCTAAGGTGTCAAATTACAGTATACCAGCTGAAGTAGACCGAGCCGGCCCCTTACGTTGTGTTGTGAATCATGCTAACGAGCCGTCGTTTGGGCACTGGAAACATTTCAGACGTCTCATTTGAAGTTGTAATTTTTTTTCCATGGCTGCGACACTGTTGTCAGTGTGATACTATAAACATTTTTAGTGTTTTGTATACGTTACATATTGGCAACGTGGCGTCCAAAATGGCGCGCGCTGTGCTCGTTCCCCGCCTCGCGCAGATGGCTCTGTTGTGAAAATGGCGGTTTGCCCTCCCACATCTCCGCCGTGACTCATAGGCGTGGGTGGAGTTGCCAGCCAATGCATGACCAAATTAGGCAAAGTTATCCCCCGGTGTAGGGCGGAGTTTCCCATCAATACAGCTTTGACGCTTAAGGGGAACGGATTAGCCAAAATTAGATGCAACCCCCCCTCCCCCATAATGGGGATGACAACTCCTCTAATGACCCTAGTACATACCACCAAAGAAGCCTACATTGTCTGCACAATGTTGTCAGTCAACAATATGCTTGTTTCAGGAAGTACACCTGCTCTGGGGAAACTTTGCATTTACAAATAAACTTGGCCCTGCTGAACATTGAATTTTCATAAAGTTTGAATATATCGTTTCACAACTTCCTGCAATAAAATGTGTCACTTCATTTTAGTTTCCATGAGAATCAAAGAATCAAGGTTATATTCCTTATTTTTCTCCCATTAACATGATTTCTGTTTTCTCCCCTCCAACCAGGTCTCTCCCGGCAACCACCTTCAGCTTTGCTGCCGTCGACAGCATACCTGGACCTCTCGACTCACCTTTGTTCTTGTACACCTTTTCACGGCTACCACTGACCAGCAGCAGCCATGACCCTCTCCCAGCTAGCCCTGGAGGACGTGGAGGCCCTGTACTTAGGTGTGTGTTGTGATGACACATATTGCCAGAGCACTAGTACAAACACTGCTGAATGTGCCGCTTTGTTTGCATAACATTTGGTAATAATAATACCATTCCCAACAATTCTAAAGCCAATGAAGTACAGTTCCATATGGTCAGCATGGAATTATCTGTAGATGGGTTAGATGTTTTAGTGAGTTATTGGATGAATGACAGATTGTATGTATTGGATGCCCAAAATTAGAAATTGACGTGCTGATCTTTTGTTCTCAGGGCCCTCCTTTCTGATGGCTGACCCCATGGGGCCCCTTCTGGACCAAGATGAAGAAGAAGCTCTTTCTCCCTCCTCCCTAGAGGGGAAGGCGCCAGCTTCGCCCTCCCTTTCTTTGTCCACTTATCCATCCTCCTCGTCCCCTTATCAGACTATGTCTTTCTCCCCGCTGTCTTTGTCCTCCCCATCTCCCTCTCCCACCCATTGTTCCTCGTTCCTGGGAACCAAGGCCGGAGTGGACTCGCTGTCCCTCTCTTGGCTGGGTGCCGGCGACCTGCTCGACGCCCACGTTGGAGCAGATGATGGCAAAGGTGAGCGTGCCTTAAAATACATGTTTAATGAGCAGGGAGCAAGTCCTAAATTTTAAAAATTATTTTTCAAAAGGAAATAATTTGACTACTTGTTGAGCTGATTAGAAACCAAATAAAAGAAATGATGGGAGATTACTAATTGGAGTATGTTTAGGACCAAACTACATCTTCCACTCTCATTAGACTGTGAAGTTGGGAGTATTTCTTGTGCTGCGAGTATTTCAGAGGAGAGGCCCGCTGGCAGTTAAGTATTTGAGGTTTGCTTGCAGGCTGAGACACCTGACATTAAGACAGTGGGTGAGAAACCTCGATGTTTGTAGGGCAACAAACATTTATTGGTTTGTGAGTGGCGGGTGTGGCTCACAGTTGTGCTGTAATGACCGGCTCAATCTGGTTTTGTTAGACGTCATTGTGAAATGACACATTTAGCCCTTTGTTCTTCCTGGCATCAGTTAAAGGTGTAAAAGTCCTTGTTTTATGGATTTAGACTCACTTGAGTATTTGTGAGACGAGGGAGAGATCAAATTTACGCCTGAGGTCATGTGTTGAATACAGTTGGATCACAACATTTCAAGAAAATTTGATGTATAAAAAATAAACACTGTATGTTTTGTTGATGCTTGCAGCCAGCAGCTCTCATAATATTTTGGGATATTGTATCTTGGGTCAATATTTTAAACGGCAACTTTCACCGTGTAACCACATCAGTAATTTACATCCGCCCATTGTTTTTTCTGTCATATGCAGTAACGTGACTATAACCCACATAGTGTTGAGATTGTCATACGGCTTTTTTATAGGTTGTAAAAATTGATCCAGTACAATTCACAACCCTGGTATTTAACAAATAAGTAGCTTTATGGAGTATGGCATGGAAATGATTCACTGTAAGAATAATGATCCAAATTTCTGAACTGCGAGTATTAATGAATAATATTTGTCAGCAGATGATGCTTTTGCCGGCATGGACTGGATGTCAGAGAAAATCGACCTGAGTGAATTTGACCTGGAGTCTTTCATTGGATCCTGCTCCTCTGATGAGTCTCCCAGCTCCCCTGAAGATCTCCTGGCTTCCCTGGACTCTTCCATGGATTTGGATCTAGATCCCTTTAACACAAACATCCCCGTCCCACACAGCAGCCTTGAGCTGAGTTTGCCTCTGCCCGACATTCCCAGTCCCCCTCTGGAGCTCCCTCTCCCTGTGGCAGCTGAGGCCAAGAAGACGGATGTTGCTCCTGCTCATGAGCTTAAATCTGAACCTCCCTCTCCATCTCCCCCATCTCCAGTCTACACATTGGAGCTGGGAAGCGAAGTAGATGTCCTAGATGCTGACAAGCAGACCACATCCCTCACAATCATCCCAGACCCCAGTGGAAGCGTTCAGTCGACCCCCATTGTTCTCTCCATCCCCACCTCTGGTCACTTTGTGGTGGTTCTCTCAAACAAAGAAGAGCCCTCCCTCGTATCTCTCCCCGATCAAGCTGTTAAAACCTCTCCACCAAGCGAATGCGACAGTGACTCTGGCATTGAGTCAGCCATTGGTTCTCCGGTGCGCCTTCCTTCTCCTCTTCCTACCCCACCCCCTGCAGCTGGTTCCTCTAGGACCAAACCCTACTCCAAATCTGAAGCTTCCACCTCTCCAAAGACCTCCAAGGTCAAATCAGTGTCTGGTGCTCCCAGAGGGGTGGAGAAGAAGCTCAAGAAAATGGAACAGAACAAGACAGCAGCCACACGTTATCGGCAGAAGAAAAGGGTTGAGCAGGAGGAGCTGCACAAAGAGTGCGAAGAGCTGGAGAAGAAGAACCACGAGCTGGCGGAAAAAGCAGAGTCCATCAGCCGAGAGATCCAGTACCTCAAGGACCTGATGGAAGAGGTTCGAAAGCACCGCCGTGTAAAGACCAACTCAGTGGCTTAAAAACGAAAGTAGTGAGAGTGGTGTTCCTGCTTCAGTGATCACATGCTTAAAGGGAATCCAAACTAGTAATTGAAGAAAATTGTAAAAGAGCTGCGCGTGAAACCTGCCACTTGGTGGAATAGAATGAATAGCCAGATAAAAAGTCAAACTCGTATAGAAGTTATAGTAGTGTAGATTAGGGGGCTGGGAGTTTGTGAGGTGAAGCATCTGTACATGCTTGTCTCTCAGTCCCCTGTCTTATTCCTGGTACAAAAAAACAGGGTGTAAGTTTGTCTTTGTAGACTAGGCATGCAAAGCACGAGTCACCGTAGCTCCTGGTATTGTTGTAGACCTGTAACTCATTGACTGAGATCCCCTTGCTCCAGCACCACTTCATCACCAGACGTCGAATGGGCTTAAATACATTTAGTCAGAAAAATTAAACACCACTTCTACCCCGTTCCTACTACCTTCTAACCCCATGCAACCCTATTTTGACCTTCTTCTTAACATCTTGACTTCCAGTAAGGGGCCTCAGCCTACTTATGAATCCGTGATATTACACTCGACTCACTTTTATGTATATATTTTCTCATTTGCTTGCAGATTGTGGGTATTTTTCCCTTTTTTTTTTTTTTTTTTTTTTCTTTTTTTTTTAATTATTATTTAATGCTGGATAAAATCTTATCACATCTTTGGTAGCTCTGTCTCCTAGCACTGGTGTTTGGCTTGTAAAAAATGCTTTGCTGGTCTTTTTTTCTATTAAATATCTATCAGTACTCCAGTGATGATCTGTGTCTTTATTTTATTTAGAGTACATTTGATAGTTAAGTCTGTCAGGCTTTTCTGGAAAAATTGATATGACAGACTGTAAAACACACATTGGGTAGATAAAAATGAGATTTTTAAGATGAACCAGTTTCAGTGACAAAAATAAAATCTTAACACAGATCCTTTGATATATTTATGTTTATAAAAATGCTGAGTTATTTGCAGAAGGCAATGAGACGATGAAAAATTAGTCGTGTAAGGATCGATTACTAAGCCAGAGACTAGGACTTGAACTTATAACTCAAGGTTATGAAAGTGAATGTTGTTATTAATAAAAATGGTGCCTTGTAT